AGAGAGGGAATGAGAAGGAGACAAAGAAGGCAAGAGCAGTTTTTAGATGCAGTTTGAAAACTGCTGGAAAGCTCATGGAGTGGAGATACAGCACACTGCTAGGTGAACTGCAGGAGTGTGGGAAGGGGAAAAGGGCAGGATGTAGGCAGGAGCAAGTCACAGAGCAGTTAAAAGGCAAAGGGTGAAAACCTGGCTCCATTTTAGTGAGTGGCAAAACTCTCATCCTGGTCCAAACTACAGAATGCTCCATGGCCTGTGTCATGCTAGGTCAGACTAGAACAGGGGTGCTCAACCCCTGGTCCATGGGCCATATCCAGCCCACATCTGGGCTACCAGGCTCACCACAGGTTTGAAAATTCAGTAGTGGGGGAATGGTAGCAGCTAATTACTGCTCCTCTGCTGCCAAACTTCCAGACCTGGAGAGAGCCCTGCAAGTTGGATGTGTTGGCCCTGCATACTACATGGGGCATGCAGGGCTGATTGGGACAACACAGGGCCCATCAGGGCAGCACAGAGCCCCCCGGTGTGCAGGGTAGAGGTGGGGCAGAACCTAATCCAGGCCTGTGGACTGACCCCAGACCACTCATCCAGCCTGCAGGGCCAAAAGGTTGAGCACCACTGGACTAGATGATATAAAGTTTCCTCCTAAACCTTAAACTCTATGAATAGGATTCTTTTAACCGTTATATGATTTCCATTGTGCTGATATCTGGTTAACTATATAAGAGACCTGGCCTTCAAGATCTTTGCACTCCCCTGGACAATGTATTTATGCCAAGAGAGTTTCAGAGCATGGGCCTTGTTGAAGTTGTATGGGTACAGAATAAGGTGATGCTGCAAGGTGCTGACTGTCGTCAACATCAAGTGACCTGAGTCGGGGCTGAGGACATTCTACACCTCGCTAGACCAGCGCTTCCTCACATACAGTACAGGCTTGCACACGTTTGTGATGCACTTCTAACTCAGCTGTTTTATTCCCTTGTGTACATAGTTCTGTGTTACCCTGATGTGCAAATTCTGTTTCTTCCAGTAAACTTTGCTATGTCCAGGATCAATGATTTAATAATGCTGATATTGTTAAGAGTAAATAAAATTATTTTAATAAAAATGCTCATAACAGAGTAATTTCTGCCATGTTATAACAATCATAAAGACAACATTCCTGATCCTCCAAATATAACCTTCTGTTTCAGAATTGGCCTACAACCCTGATCCTATCAGATGTCAAGTGTCTTGTATGTACCCATCTCCACCCTACTTATATGCCGTGCCCTGCCATAGTATTTTAGGATGAGATCATGGCTTGGACCCTGAGATGTCCTGTTGCATCTTCAGCAGAGCTACCAAGTGCTGAGTATGTAGCAGTAAGCATGCATTGCACAACTGGTATCCCCTGCACAGCTCCGCTGGGCAAATGGAAGCTGGGAAGGGGGAGATTCTTGACTAGAGCTGAGAAGGGAATTATCTTCCTGTCATAAAGATGAACTAGCATCTTTCAAAGAGAAGAGGAGGAGACACACTCCTAGTTCTGGACTTAGTCATGACCTCAATGCCTGGGCCACTTGACCAGGATTTAGGAGACTGACTTTTAGGTCCCTGTTCCTGCCTCAGATGAAACCTTGAACTTCATACTCCTGCATCTGAAATGCACTTCCTAACCACTTGCTATGCTCAGGAACATTGGCTCTCCTAGGATCAGGGTTGGGTGGCCATCATAGAGGACAGTCTGGTTGTCCTTTGTCCTCTATTGATACGAAACCTGACGCCTTTATGTCGGGTTATGTCAAGGACATAAAGGCATTGGGTTTCATATCAGTAGAGGACAGAGTAGCAGAAAACCGGAATGTCCCCTATGATGGCCACCCTAGATCAGGGCCTTGCTTGCTAGAACAGCTGATCCAGCAAGATGTACAAATAGCTAGCAGCAAGTTACTAGTTAAACTCCAGAGCAAGCAGGGGCAAAATGGTAATAGGAACATCCTTGGGACATAGTGCTTCCAGGAGCTGCTTGTGGGGGAAGGACATCTTGGGTACAACTCCATGCTCTCAGCCATGCCTAACATCACAGCCTAGCCCTTAATAACTTAATGAACTTGCATCACCTTGCAGAAATGGTGTCAAAGGCTCTAACCAGCAACCCCACCCTAGCTGATGAATCACTGTTAAGTTCTCTCAAATGGCTGCTGGGGAAAGCAGCCACCTCATTTAGTTCCACCTCTGAAGGCAGGCTGGAGGCCAGGCAGCAGTTTGCCTGAAGGGCTGCTGTGGTAAGCCTTCTTGGATCCTGCACTCTTGGGTTTCTGACTTCTGACCCTGCTCCACTGGCTGTTTGGAAATTCCCCTCAGTCTTGGTAACTCAGTCTGACTCCAGAACCCTGATTCAGCCTGTGACCGGGACTCTGCCCCTGAAATTCCCCCTTGGATTTGGTCATTTGGTTTCTGACTCTGAACCTGATTTCAGCCTATAACTTGCTCTCTGGAATCTCCCCTTGGTTTGGGTATCTTGGACTCTGCCCCCATAGGCTAAGTACTGTTTCATAGATTCATAGATGTTAGGGTCGGAAGGGACCTCAATAGATCATTGAGTCCGACCCCCTGCATAGGCAGGGAAGAGTGCTGGGGCTAGCTGACCCCAGCTAGATGCATATCTAACCTCCTCTTGAAGACCCCCAGGGTAGGAGAGAGCACCACCTCCCTTAGGAGCCCATTCCAGACTTTGGCCACTCGAACTGTGAAGAAGTTCTTCCTAATGTCCAGTCTAAATCTGCTCTCTGCGAGCTTGTGGCCATTATTTCTTGTAACCCCCAGGGGCGCCTTGGTGAGTAAAGCCTCATCAATTCCCTTCTGTGCCCCCGTGATAAACTTATAGGCAGCCACAAGGTCGCCGCTCAACCTTCTCTTGCGGAGGCTGAAGAGGTCCAGGTGCCCCAGTCTCTCCTCATAGGGCTTGGCCTGCAAGCCCTTAACCATACATGTGTCCCTATGATCCAAAACAGTCAAAAAGCCCAAGGCTGAATTGATTCAATCTTTGCAGGTTAGTTTAAGCTGTGTAGATTGAACCAATAAGCAAGTAAACAGACATTCACTCTCGATTCCAGAAATGCAGCCACGTGCCTGCAGTGGCCCAGGCCAGAAACTGGTGGGGAGTGTGCTAGAGCACACCTCCCTGCTCGGGTGCAACAAACAGCTTGGGCCAAGGCTAGCCTGCCAACCTTGCGAGGTAGGGTTGTGGGGGAAGCACAAAGCATTCTGGGATGCTGGGAGACTGTGAGTTAACTTGAATCTGGAGGAGATCTAGGACAAAAGTTCAATAAACTGATTTAACCTAAATCAATTAAATCTGATACTACTTCCATCAAGGTTTATCTTAAACTGGTTTCAGCCATTTTGAAAGCAGTTTATGTGCACTGAACTTCTGTTGTGTTACAGATTTGAACCAGTTTTTGATCACCTATACCGATTTATGTATAACTTCTGTCCCTAGCCCTGGTGGCTTAACTACTAGATCAAAATGCTTATGATATAATGTGAGTTGTAACCCTCCCCCATTCACGATACTATGCAGGCCGCAGAACCAACATAAATAATCTGTCATCCATCATCAGCACCAACCCAAAATACATGACAGCCATAGCAGCAATTTGGACAAGATTTTGCAAGGCATATTTCATGCAATGAATAGTTTTAAAAGAAATAACAAAATAAATATCTTAGACAAATGAAAAATAAATCTCTGGGGCAAATTAAATGCAGAACAATCTACAAGGTTTTCCAAAAAAATCAAATGTTAGCCAAAGTCTGGAAACTGTTTAAAGCAGCCTTTAAAGAAGCACGTACCAAACTGCTTTAAAATTAAAAGGATGTTAGTAGTTTAAATACAATTTTTTGAATCCTCACCTATCTTACTAATCAAACCTTACAGCATTCAGAAAGAATCCATTAAAATCTAGGACTTGGTCTTTTATCTTCTTGAAAGTGGCAACATTTGATCTCTGTGGGAAAAAGATAATTGCCTTTTTTTCACCATTTGTATTCTATTTCCTTTTTCTGCAGTTTGCTCAGTTTGGGCACTGAAAATCGACGTGCCAGTTTCACTCTTTTCTAGCCAGTTTCTAATGGATCAACGCAGAGCTGTAGTGTTGGGAGCTGAAATATACTTTTCACTGGATTTTTTGTAGTTGCATCTTTTATATGTGCAGGCTCTGTAGGACTAGAACAAGTTCTAGAACTAGATGCTGGGTATATGGTGGTTGAATCAGTAGAGGATCAGTGCCTATTGCTCTATTACCATTGAGATCATCTTAACTATCACTTTGTGACATTTCTTCTTCTTTTTTTAAATCCTCCCATTTGCTCTACTACATTTATTTCAGA